TTACCTGATCTCTTGAAGGAAGAGGAGCGGAAGGAGTCTATCAAACAGCTGCTAGCACTGATATTTGGCATTGCGCTAATGGCCGTGATGACCATGCTATTCGAACATTAGGAACTTTAGATGACAGCAGCATAAGATGAAAATTTAACCACACAGATTGTCATTGGCAGTTTCAAATTTACATGAATTTGTTGTACTTTATGGGATTCACCATCCTGTCTGCGTTATGTAATTATAGCCAATATGAATGATATTTAAACTATTGTTAATGATTACGTATTATTGTATCATACTTATGAAAAGAAAATTCAATAGACATTTAAGGGAGAGTCTCCTTCTCCACTATCCACGAAAATGTTTTCTCTTCTAACTGCATTTATTTGAAGAAATTTTTTCTACAAAACATTCACATGACTTGTGGATGTCATATCTTTGTCACCTGGCAAATTGCAAGAAAAAAATCAGACAAATGCACTTCCTATAAAAACAAGTTGTTTTATTCCGTTTTTCTTTGCAAATCATGTCTTGCAAGCTTATCTAGCGCCTTTATTTCTTAGACTTGATCTTCTTAAGGTAGAATTCCAACTCCTTGCCTTCCAAAATGTAGCCGTCGGAGCGACCGCATTGTCCAGGGCGGGAAGAAATGCAAGCTGGAAGATAAAAGAATATAAAATAAGACAAAGGCAACTAACTTTAAATTAATAATCATGTTCAGTAAGGAAATCAGAGTAACTATGACAAGCCGAATCACGCCCAACAGGCTTGCATCTTTCTTAAAACAAGATCGATGCAATAAAGTAGCTGGATCGCTAGGGTTTTTACATCACTTAAACGGGATTTGATTATGAGCAAGCAAAAAATACACACCCAAGATACGGCCGGAGGTGAACTGATCCTCGAGGGCTTGCTCGACCTTGCCGTACTTCTGGCGCTCCAGGTACTTCTTCATGACCTTTTCGCTGCGCTTCTTGGTCAGCACGTCGTTCTCATCCTCCTTCTGCGCGTGCTTGGGGTTGCGCTTGCGTCCCAGGGGCAGAACGTAGTGCGCCTCGTACCACTGGCGGAAAGGCGTGGCATCGATCACCACGATGCTGTTCTTCACCAGAGTCTTGGTGCGCACCAGCTCGTTGTTGGAGGCGTTGTACACCACATCGGCGATACGGGTCTTGCGGGCGACGCCCTCGGAGGCCCAGGCGAAGTTGCCGGTCTCCAGGCGCAGAGCACGGAGCTTGGTGTTACCACCACGAGTGCGCACCTTGTGGACGCGGCCGGAGCCAAGCTGAAAGCAGGGAAGATTTCTGGGTTAGTCCACGTTTTCTTGACAGTGAGTGAAAGCAGTTATAAGAATAGTTTTATAATCAGTAGTCCGAACATAAAGCTTTTCAATCATCAAGAAGAGTGCTCGAGAGCACAATTGCAGTTGACACGCGTTAACATCACTTTATATTTTATGGAAATCTGAGAACCGGTTTTCTTATACTCCTGGGGCAGTGTCGAAAAAAGAACATAAGTTCACCTATCATCAGTTAAGATAAAACCCTATTTATTGCAAACATATTATTGAGTAAGGTTAACAATACATTTTTTTTTTAAGGTAATGCTTCTTAGGTGCCATTATAAGACTTAGGTGCCAGTGTAAGACTTAAGTTTCAATGTATTGAATATTATTGATAAAGTAATCAACGATATAATGCAATAATCATACAAACATGTGCATGGTTTAAAAACACTAAAATAAGTGGAGTTCATAGAAAGAATTAAAAGGATCCACACTAGGAGTATGAGAAATTGGATCTCTAGATTATAGGTATAGGGATTATCCGGGGGATTGTCTTTACCTTGGTGTTGGCGGCGGGGCGGCCCAACTCGAACTTGCGCTTCTTGCGGAGCGACTTGCGCTTGCCTCCGGTTGCCCGGCGTTTGTGTGCACTATCGCGGCTAATACCTGGTATCAAAAAATAATAACAAATTAGTACAGGTCACAAGAAGTCTAACCGAAAAACCAAGAACATGGGCACGTTGTCTGAGCACTCAAAACAGCCGTATTGCACGCGCACCAAGTTAGTTTCACTTATATTTTGTTAAATGCACATATTCTCAGTTGCCGCTTTGTGGATGCTGTTGTAAACGTACTTTGTGCGCACTTTCATGTTGTTTGCAGGCAAATTTCAGCCCATTTTCTTGATATTTCGACGCATTTTGCGAGAGCTGACTTACCCATGGTCGAGTAAAAAGCGAGAAAGAAAGGAAAAGACACGCACAGCACCTCGTGTCAAAAAAGTGGGGTTATCTTTTTGACATTTGCTGCGGAGTGGCAACTCCGCTCTGTTAACTCAGCGCTCAACAGTACACAAAGTGCTGTCAAATAAATTAAATAAATATTTAAACCAATTAAAGCAGTCACAATAGAACCAAATATTAAATCAGACATTTTCTCACTTGTTCAAAGCATTCTAATAGCCTAAGGGCCCGTTACGAATAAAATTATTTAATTGAAAGCTACAATATTCAAAAGACTACCATTTTTTCTTAAATATAATTTTAAAATTAATCTAGTTGAGTGTCAAATGATAACTTTTTTTTTATTGTAGAAATTAAAAATTATATACATAAACTAAACTTAACTACCTAATGTTCACAGAATATTAATTAAAATCGATAGTATCGAATAAATATCTGGCAACATTCCCATAGACGATTGGTCTGGCAGTACCGTTTAAGGAGCTGCCAGATCGACGTTATTACATATCAAATGATAATCGATAGTATCGAATAGGGACCGATGTTTCTTCCAGCACTATTTTGCACCGAAAATAATTGCAATTTGATAAATAAACGCGACAATCGCAAACAAGTGGGCCAGGAGCTGCCGAAGGCGTCGATAGGATTTGCCCCCGGAATTGCTAATGCAACTATGGTTGGGAAAAACTTCAAGGCTCTCGCGCACTTTCACCGCCTGACCGAATACATAGTACAGTGCAAGCACTGCGACAAAACACTGTCCTCCAAGCACACCTCCTCCAATCTGACGCGCCATTTGATCCGGAACCATAAGCTCTTGGCCCGCACCATTTTCGCCGGCGAGGAGGGCAAGATGTTGGCGGAGCTCAAGGACGAGCTGGAGGCCTCCGTCTCCGAGGATCTCAGCATGGAGCTCGCAGAGGGCGAGGGCGAGACCAAGTCGGCGGTGCGCGGTATCATGGGCGTGAAAAGGGAGCAGCAGGAAATGGAGCGTCACAACCATGAGGTGGAGATGCGCAACAAGGTGATCGGGAAGAACAACAAGCTGTGGGCCCACTTTATCCGCATCTCGGAGTTCATGGCCAAGTGCATGCACTGCGGGAAAACGCTCTCCTCGAAGCACTCTTCCTCCAATCTGATGCGCCACATCGTGAGGAGACACAACAATCTGGCCAAGACCCTAAATCACTCACATCAGCACTTGATGACGCCCAAAAAGGAGGTATTTGGCAGCCTGGAGCGACGGCAGGCTGCTGATCCTCTGGAGAAAGTCAACTTTGATGATGTGGACAGCATCATCGAGAAAGTTGCCGATCACCTGGACGAAGAGGTTTGTCCCGGGGCTTTTAACCGACTCACATTCTACATACTTTCGATCTCTGGTTCAAGGTCACTTCGATTTCGCTGCAGGAACCCTTCTACGAGTACGTGGTGGACAACTCTGATTCTGTGGTTGTGGACAGGTGCGATGAGACGGAACCAGCGGAAATGCAGAACATGATTCCGCCGGATAGCGCCTCACTAGCGGATACCACCACCCAGCTAGACGAGAAGCTTAAGGCGGAGACGATATACTACAACGAAATGGCCGAATTGGCCAGGGCCAAGCGCCGGCTCATCGATCTGCAGACCAAGAAACTTCTCCTCGACATGAACGTGGTGGACAACTAAGCATCTGACGATTATTACGGCTTGTATTTGTAGGAGGATAAGGCGGGCAATATGATAATTAACTCTTAGGTACTATTATACTTTTAACGACATAACGATCTGTGCATTTACTCAGCGGGGTATTTCTTGATTTCCAATAGGTCATGCAAATGTAAATAGCTTTCACGACTAAAACAAGTGAAAGATTGCCAAAAACCTGGAAAAGATATATATATATTTGCATTTGCCGCATTTTAATACATTTTTTTTAAGTTTTTCTGTAATTTTCTATTCTAATTTCCCTTGTAATTAGATTGTTGTATTTCACGAATTGATTCTTGATAGGAGATTATGCGAATTCAGATGAGGCGATAACAATCCGAACCATTTCATATAAATAGTTTCTCACGACATGATCATGTGGTCGTTTGTACTAGTGGCGACGGTGGCCAGTTGTTTGGTAGTCGACAAACCTGAATTATTTGTGCTTGCCAATCCATGACGGTTTCCTTTTATGATTCAAAATGATGCGTTTTGATCTTACAACGGCACTCAAAAGCTATATGGAATATGTTATATGGAATGTTGATTATGCAGCAATAAGGTGGAAACGGTGCAACACAATAATCATACACAGAATGCCTAAAGCCATGAATGATTTTTAGCGGTACATAGCCAAAAAAAGGGTAAATGCATTCGTTGTAAAACAATATCGATAGGGAAAATAGAAATTTTAGATAATAACTTCTTCTAGTTTCCCAGAATAAAGTATTCTTTTATTTTATTATTTATGATGCATATGTTAACTTACTTATTGGACGATAAACTCCCCCAATATAAATGCGTGTAAAGCTTTAAAAGATGAAGTTGTGTATATTTGGGGTTAAGTAAATGGAAAAAATATTGTGCAAAAAACATTACGCGCATTTGTATTTTAGTAAAAAAGGAAGATTTCTTTTTATATTTAAAACTTTTTGGGAATCAAACTGAAATATATTCTAAATGGTCTACGGTTTGAGACAGCACTAAAGTTCTATCAGGGAACTCCACCATTTGGTTTAAACCTTCATGGGTTTAATTTGTTGTATTTTTTAGGCACTTTTTTACGATTTGCGTGTTATTTTGATTTGATTTGTTAGTCAAAGCACATCATTGAATTAATTCTGTCGAAATGAATCAGAATCCTGGCTCCTGGGAGAAAGTAAAGGCTGAACAGGACGATGGTATAATTGACCATTATGGTTAGTAACATATTGCCTTATTTTCCTATCCTAACACATGTGCCCTTGGTTTTCCAAGATCTGAAGAGTACTCCCTGGCGTCGTCGTTTGAAATCCGAATTCCCAAGTGACCCTTACGAAGAAAAGGGGTCGTATTTTCCACAGGGCAATAGCCAATCTAATGGCATCATAGATCTGGATCAGCCGAATAGCTCCAACAAAAGTCCCCGTCAGCCCCGAAAGGAGAATGTCGGCTGGGCTCGCTTTACGCTGAGAAAGATTGCCAGAAACAAAGCGGAGGGCAGGACAGAACCCAGGGATGCAGAGGACAAGGCTCGTAGCCGAAGGACGCTCCGGAAGCAGAAAAAAAAATTGAAAAAGAAGCAGCTCAAGGCCGTCCAGCCTAAACAACAGAAGCAAAAAAAATCGCTTGGGAAAAAAAGCAGAGCGTCCAAAAAGTCAAAGGGTGCTCCACTAGCAGTCAGGGAGCCCAATGAGGTGGTCACGGATAACCTGGCAATGGCCCTGGTGGACGAGTTCCACGATGACGGACGTTTACTAAACGAAAAGTGGGAGGAGATCGAGAGCGTACTGGCAGATATGGTGACAGATAGAATCATGGCTACTCCAGAGGGTCCCATCCCGTCCTTCGACTGCTCAAATGTAATCCGTGGTCATCGGGTGATCAGGTGCGACGACGGGTTCTCGAAAGTCTTCCTGGCGGATTGCGTGTCCAGAATCGGCGACAGTTGGAATGGCTTACGTATCAGCCTAGTGCACGCCAGCGAAATTCCCTGGCGTCCTACAGCTCGCATCTGGTTGCCAAAGGGGCAAACAGATCACAATAGGATCATTAGCTGTCTCAGAGCTCAGAACCTGGATGTGGACATGGCGGACTGGGTCATTCTCAAGGGAGAACAAGCCATAAAGACAAGTCAGCCTTTTGTTGTACTTATTAACCAGCGATGCCTGCCACAACTGGAGGCAGCGGACTACAAGGTTCGCTACGGCATAAGAATGGCGAAGATCAAGGTCCTTTTAACCGAGGCAGATGAGTTATCGGGCGAAGACGAAGAGTCCTGGAAACGCGAAGAGGACTTGCCATGCTCGAGTAAATCTCGCCGTTTTTCCAGAGAATAACCTCGACATCCACATACGGATGGTAACCTAGACTAGAAGCAAGAAAGCCTCAGGTTTGAAACCATATTAGCCATAATATGCTCGAAGTCAACAAATAGACCGTTAGTCCTTAAGAAATAAGGATAAGGATAAGAATAATATTAATTAATTCTGTTACTTATGTTATAGCAGTAGCAAGATTCAAGATGATTGGGTCGGAAGAAAATTTTCATGCGTTTCATTTATATCATGAAAACGATATACACTTTTGTTTTTAAAAGGACACACATGTCCTGCAGTATTAAATATAAAAAAACTTAATTCGGAACTCTGAATTAATAAAACATGTAAAGTTCTTCAGAATAAAAATAAAACAAAAGTTTATAATTAACCATTATCTATTAATTATTTAAACTATATTATTTTTTCATAAGTAGAAAAGAACAGAATATATTAGTTAGTAACCGAGAAAGAATTTTAACTGCTAAACTGGAATATCCTCTATGACTTATAGCCGCGCTGATTGTTAGCGAAGTTTCTTACCAACTTTCGTAGGCATTTGCTGTAAAATTAAGTCCGTATTTCTCGGTATTTTCCGATTGGTGGTAAAGGGTCACACTCATTCCCTAGTGGGCTTCGCATTTTTTGTTTCAGACGGAAAATCAAGAAAATAACTCTGGGTTTAAGTCATTATAAATAAAACAAAATGTCCAGCTTTTCGCCGAACCAACTGCGTCAGTGCACCCGCTTCACCGGCACGCCATGCACGCCGGACAAGGAGCAGCAGCTGCGGGAGCAGATCCACAGCGAGCTGGCCAAGATCAAGTACTGCGCCAATCCCACCTACGAGTGCAGCTTGATGCGAATTGAGGGCTACGACTACTGCATGCGGCACATCCTGCGTGATCCCCGCGCCAACTACCGCCAGTGCTCGCATGTCTACTCGAACGGAAGGAAGTGCATCAACGCGGTGGCCAAGTACGACAACAAGAAGGAGCAGATCCTTACCACCTTGTGTTTCGAGCACAACCGCCAGACACAGCTCCAAAAGACCCATCTGAATGTGGGTCGCATTCGCAGTCGCGTGGAGACCAACGAGACCCTGCTCCACAGCCTCTCGTCCCACATCAACGTGGAGGACATTAAGCCGGAGGCCCCCAAAACCGAACCCCATGATGATGATGAAATTGATGTGGTCTCGCCTCATGTAACTCCATTTGGTAGGTCTCACTGGTAGTGGATTCACTAAGTAGTAAATAAAATTTTCTCTTCCTTAGTCACCCAAGATCACCGAAACACCATTGACCACGTTGTGGATAGCTCACGCAAGCGCCGTCGCATTTTGGATTATGCTTCTGATAGTTCCAGCAATGATGAGGATCCACCTTGTCTTAGGAACACCGCCCAAGACATAGAGTTTTACGAATCAGACTACGAAAGCGTTGATTCTGAAGATGATGATCCTCTAAAGTAAGTTTTATTGAGGCCTATTCCGGTTTTCACTTTTAGGAAATGTTTTTAACTTGTTTTTGAGTTTCTGCCAATTTATAATTTTACTGTGTGCATCTTAAAAAAATATATTTAAGCTGGTTTAAAAGAATACTTCCCAAAATCATATAAAAAAAACAGTGAAAATGGGAACGAGCCAATACAAATCGTTCTATAAAGTATTCAACTAACACAAGTTATTTTTTCAGACATGCTGGCGTCTTTACGCGTGCTGAGGCTGTTAAAATTGCCGAGACCAAATTGATTAAGCTTAAGGAACTTTATCGCGATCAGATTTCCCATCTGCAGCATGTTCTGAAGCAGCGCCGTCGCAAGTATTTGCACGACATACGACGAGAGCGAGAACTATATTGTAAGCTTAAAACGAGTGAAATATTAGTAAGCAAGTTAATCTAATCCCTTTTTTTTAGGCAGCATTCATGACCAGCTGAAGGACACGCCACACGAGCGGAAGTTGTACGAACAACTAAAGGCGCTGAATAGCTACCATCGTCGACAGGGCATGGAGGCTGTGCTTTACAAGAAACTAAAGGAGAAGCGCGCCAGGGACACCTTGTATGCATCCAAGTCGTCGAGCAACCCAAAGTGCATCTTCACTGAGGGCGGTGTTAAGTGCGGAGAGCGAACGCTACCCTGCTGCAAGCACTGCCGGAAGCACATCCTGGAGGACAAGCGCCAGGTCCTGTTCCGGGCATGCGGCGTGGAACGAAGTGGGGTGGTCTGTCAGGAACCGGTGGCCAGCATTCTTGAAGACTCCAGTTGCGTACTGCATCTGACCGTGGCGCCGGCTAAGCGCCAGTATATACAAAAGGTGCGTTGATCAAAAACTAAACCTAACCCACGCCATACCCACCACACGTTTCTACTTAAATATTCCAACTGCCTCTTCATACATTGCCATAAGTTGTGTTGCACATAACTGCATATACTACAGTAATTGAACTGTAAAACAGTTTTAACATACATACATACTGCGTAACTAGCATTTAGATTTGATTTGTAGTAAAGCTAAGTATATCTACTGAGAAACAAACACGAAACACATGTACATAAGTGCTAGTATTGTCTAATAAGCTTTTTGTGATCGACCCTGAATAAATTGCCGACATCTCATCCTCCAGTTTTATGAACTCCCAAGCACTCCGCCGCTAGAAAGTATTTTCGCAGCAGGCCGTGGTGTCGATAATTTTGTCGGAAAAGACCCACGGATTGAACAGCGTGCGGAGGGCGATGATCTGTTGGATTTTGCAAGTGGTATATTCGAGTTTGATCTCGATACAGCTGATGATTTAGCAAACTCCCTCGACGAAGAGTGCGCCATGTTTCTTGACATGGACAATGACCTGGGCTTAGCCATTGATGATCGCAGTGTGGACAGTGCCCATGCAGACTTAGGCCTCGACCAAGATGGCGAAGAAGTATCCAATGATTTTTATGACCCCGGTGAAACTCAAGCTCAAGACAATCTTATTGAAAGCCAACTAGGTTTGGACGAATCATCGGTGCAGGACAGTAGCGAACTTAACTTTGAAATCGACGAGACCGACAGCAATGTTAACGAAGTGTTGAGAATGCTTGAGGGCATTGAGCAAATGCCCTGGTTTGATGCTCTGATGAACTAGTTCGATATTATAGTAAATGTAATAACCCACAATCCTAACCATAATCCAAGTATTAGTTTTTTGTACTCAAGTATTTACATTGTTGATAAACACTTTATTTCACAGAAATGCGAGTCAGAGACTGAAGAAGATGAGACGGTGTCAGCAAGCGTTAGTACCATTATAAAAACCGAAAAAAAGGAGCCTACAGATAATCTATTTGTGGGCCAAGTTCTTAACGTCACCACAGCTCATGGCGAAGACAACAAAGACGATATCAAACTTCTCAAGTGCATACAAAAGCAAACTAGCACTACTTCTTAAAACTTCGTAGAATAAATGTTTACTGTTGCAATCATAAATCCATATATATTAAATAAAAAACGTAGATTTAAATCTCTTATCTGAAAATGTCAATTGGCTTTGTAAGCATCTATTGTATTTTTTGTTTCTTCGGGAAAAAAGAATTCCTTAATAAATAGTTTCTTATTTAATCAAACTATTTTGTCGGTTTACGTAATTATTTATTTACATTTATTGGCGTTTTATAATTTATACAACTTAATATTTGTTTTACATTTATGCATGTATATATTTAACAATTCACATTTTACAGAGAAAATGCATAGCTTTTGCAGATTCTTAGAAAATAAAAAATATGCACTCTGTTTGCTTAAAAGTAATGACTGTAATTATTTGATCTTAAAGCACAGTTAAATATATCAGTTATCAGTTCCTCCATTCAGTATCTCTACTCAAATATTTACAGATTGCATATGCTATGATCATAGATTGATGGCAACCGCTCTCGTTGTTAAAATGCACTATTAAAATTATAAATTGGCAGCTAAATATATTAACAAAGTCTGTTAAAAGTTGAAACCAGTTTTCTTAATCATTTCCCTACAGCTCCGTTGTAGTCTCTACCTCTGAACGATCCAAATCGTTCAGATAGGAAAAGCCTATTTGGCCATAGTCCCTTTTGCCAAAGGAAACGTTTTCGTTTGTGCTGCTTAAGTGGTTGTGATCAGAACTGGATCTGTAAAAAGACAATAGTTATATAGATTGTACAATTAGACGTGTAAAAGCTTTAAGATGCATACCTCTGAAAAAGCGGATTTGTGATGGGCACTTCTCCACCATAAAGTCGATTGTTGAGCTGTCCATTTCGACCCAGCGTGGCATTCATCAGCTCACCATTGCCATTGAGCAATCCCACGTCGCAGAATGTGTTTCCCCGCCTACCCATCGTGCTGTAGGCATTATTTTTAGCATTGGCCATATTGTTGGGTCCAGTGGGATCTATGTTGTAAGCGCCGTTCTGATAATGGTTACTGTTCTGGTGCTTGATGCGACCCAAAGTGAGGGTGCCTGAAAGGGCGCCTCCATTCGGAGGGGATCCCAGTGGGTTGGCATTGTTGCGAGTGTTCATTTCCAGAGTCCGATTGAAGGTGTTCTGTCTGTTATTTATGGCCAGATTGTTGTTCATGTTGGCGTTGTTGAGATTCTTGTGCCGACGAAGAGTGGCAATGGTAGCCGTCGTGGCATCCGAGTGAGATGGACTAGACTGACCACCGCCATTGGTGTTCTCCTTGTGCGTTATGTAGCTGACGTTGTCCAGCGAGAAGGCATGGTTCTTGGCACTAAAGTCCAGCTGGAGATCGTCATCCACATCCGGTGGCACTGCCATCGCCAGCATCTGGGTCTCGTACTCCTTCATGTTGGCTATGGTTTCGCTGGCATTCGAGGCCTGCTGGTTAACGATCACAGGATCGTAGCGGGTTGGATTCGTAGAGGAGTACTGTCGCATGCGTTGCTTAAAGTTTTTGTATCTATAACGAGGAAAAAATAAATACATTTTAATGGAGATTACTGTTATTCGATTTTAATTAAGTTGTATTGCCATTAAATAAAGAATTAGAGACTCGCACGGGTTAGTGTTGATTCTACTATTTTCTTTGACTTTTAAGCTATTTAAATGTTCACAGTTAATTTAGGCTTTAAAAACTGTCTGTACTTACTTTGACCAAGAAATGCATATATAGATGATGCCGATTGTGCCAAGAATAAGTATAACAAGTGATATGGCAATAAGAGTGAAGGGAAAGACTTCATTATCGATGGCCACAGCGGCTTTAACCTGAAAATTAATGAAAAAAGAAAGGATTGATAGATACCCAAATGATATATATCATAAGTAGTAACCCACCTTATGAACCTGTTCTTTTCTTTCAAGGGGAAATGAAATATTGTCGGCGGTGGCCCTTGGTAAGGCAATATTTAGCTCGGATCGGGAAGCTGGTTGCAATAAAGTGGTCTCCACAATGCTATCTTTACGGCTCACCAACAGCTCTGTCTTCGGATCGATAAGATAGAACCATATATCCGTTGCGGCTGGGTTCTCGATCACCGTTCCATTCTTGGCCAGATACTTCTGACTGCTCATTCGTTCAATGCCGCTGACTAGTCCGGTTTTCTTGTCCAGCAGTTCTTCCAGTTCCGTGTAGTAGTTACGAAGATCGCTGGGTGCCGAGTTCGGGAATGATAATGCCATTCGATTTATGTCCGCCAATTTATTGACAACGATGCGGGCTCTCGTGCGATGAGATCCCTGTTCTTGGGCATCGCTATCACGAGCCTCCACCAAAAATGTCATCGGAAAGTCGTTTTCGTTTTTGAAATGCCTTGCAGTGCGCAGAACTCCAGTATCTTCAGACATCACGAAAAAGCTAGTGGGCTGGATATAATACACATATGGTGGTGAAAAGAAAAAGGTTTAGTAGGTTGATAGATTACTTACCATATTAACCCGGTTTTCGTCATCATCGTAGAGAGTGTATCGAACGGTTCCAAATTTACCTGAATCACGATCTGTGGCTCGCACCTGCAAAATGGTTGTGTCAACATCCATTTCTTCGGTTACCACCGTGTAGAAAGTGTCTTGTTGACCGCGTAGCCTATTAAACTCGAACTCTGGGGCATTATCGTTCTCATCCTGAACTATTATCTCCACGGTGGTGGTGTCTTTTTGTGGGTTGATAAAATAACGATGGGATGTTAGGCGCAACTGAAGGGTGTACGAGGTCTTGTTCTCAAAGTCCAGTGGTTGGATGAGCAACAAGTTACACCCATGATCAGCAGAACTTAAATTGAAGATTCCCTCTTCGTTTCCGCGGACAAATTCGCACTTGAAAGCCGGTGGCCCATCGGTTGATGTCTTTGAATTCACTATTTGAATGAGTTTGAGGGTGCTATTTGTTTCCATTGACTCTGGCACACTGGTGGTGTAGCTATCATCGCTGAAGGCCAAGCCTATACTTTCACTACTCATAACCAATCCGCTTTCCAGCTTATTGTCCAATTTAATTTCGTTATTGCCGTTGGACAAAAGGTGATGTACATCCACTCGCAGGGGAGCCACCGAACTCAGCTGGGGTTCACCCAAATCGTATGCCCTGATGTCCACCTGGTACTCCGTATCCTCTTCTTTGCGCAGTTCATCTCTTATCCGAATCGCCCCTGTATCCGGATCCACTTGGAAGTACTTGGGGGCCTTGCCACGACCCACAATCTCGTAGCGAACCACATTTCCCGGCGAAGTACCATCCCCATCGATCGCTGGCAGAGTGGCTATGATGGTTCCTATGCTCTGGTCATCATTTACGGTCACGGGATCGGGAACGGTTAAGAATCTCGGGGGTAAGTCGTTGCGATCCTCTACATCTACTACTAATTGAACTGTATCTCCGGGGCCGTCGCCATCGTTCTCAATAGTTCCAATGGTCAGCTGGTGTTGCTTCTGGCTTTCATAATCCAATCCCTTGATCGTCCTTACTTCTCCAGTTTTGTCCGAGACCCTGAAAAGTTCCGCATTGCCCTTGCGAAGGACATAGGTTATTTCCGGAACAGTATCGGGGTCGAAGGCCTGTACAGTGGCCACCAGGAAGTTTTCCTCATTTTCCGGAATGTGCACATCAATACGGGCATCAGTGAACTTTGGCACCTCATCTGGGAGATCTAGTACCTTCACCGTAACACTAGCCGTTCCTAGTCGGGCATCAGGAGCACCATCCTTGGCGGTGACCACAAACTTGTACTCGTTCAACTGCTCGTAGTCCAGTTCCTTGGCGGTCAGTATCTCCCCAGAAGTGGCATTAATGGTGAACGGTATGTCCGTGGGTATGGAGTAGGTAATCTCAGCATTGATACCTTCATCGGCGTCGGTGGCGTGAACAACTCCCACGGAGGCCTGAGCTTTGCCCTCGTCCACTTGGAAGACATATGGCAGGGTAGATGCATCGAATTCCGGGTTCTTATCATTGATATCCGTCACCTTGATATTTACGGTGGCACTGCTTGAGAGACCACCAGTGTCCTCTGCCCTCAGGATCAGTTGGTAGCGGGTCAAACTCTCTCTGTCCAACTTTCGGATGACTATGATAACGCCGCTTTCCTGACCCACTGCGAATTGCCGCAGATCATTGCCCGATATTATGGAGTAGACAACTGCATCGTTTTCCGGATCCTCGGCGTGAACCACCGTAACCGTGGAGTTGATCTCCGCACCCTCGCTGACCTGAACCTCGTAGATGGGTTTCTGGAAGCGCGGTGGCTTTGTGTTCGGTCCCGGGGTCACACTCACCTCGACGATCGCCTGCGAGGATAATCCCCCGATATCGGTGGCCTGCACTGTAATGCTATATTGTTCACCGGCCAGCAAACGTCCTTGGGTCTTGATCTCACCCGTCGTCTCGTTGATTGTGAACTTTTGAATGCCATTGTTGGAGACATGGTAAATGGAGTAGGTCACCACGGCATTTGGACCCTCATCGTTGTCAGTGGCGATGACCTGGGTGACCAGCCGACTTTCGCTCTGATCCCCAGCCGTAATGGAGATCGGTGGCACCATGGCCAGCTTGGGGGCATTGTCGTTCACGTCCCGTAGGTGGACCGTGAGACTCAGTGGAGCACTGGCCGCATTGGTTCGTGGTTCTCGGGCCACCACTTGAAACTTGAAACGTCCTGGCGCAGGAGGGTCGCGATCAAGGTTATCCTCGTTCACAATCAGTATCCCATCGCTAGTCACATTGAACGACGGCGTGGTCAGTTCGTATATATAGTCTGGCTTCGGATCGGTGTCACTCAGGTCGGCATCTGTGGTTTTGAATGATATAGGGTTTCCGTTCAAGTCCAACACCCTAGTTCCGATGGGCGAGTTCTCATCCACGTAGCCCTCAGTTTGAGAGGATGATATTACGGGGGGATTGGCATCCACTGGCTTAACGGAAATGGCCAGCTTTGCTGTCGTGAATCGTTGTGGTCCTGGGGAAACCTCCTCTGCTTTCACTATTATATCATACTTTTTCGCCGTCGAAGTATCAATAGCTTTGGTTTGCTTCAGCACTCCTGTATTCTCATCAATCTGGAAATAATCTGCGTAATTTCCTGGCATACCACTTGCAAAACTATATCGTATTGGGGAATTGATGGTGTCAAGATCCACTGCCTGAATCCTTTCGGGAAGAACAGTAAGTACTCCTAGCAAGGAACCTGCTGGCACGGATGCAGAATACTCTGGATTTATGCAGGCCCCATCAAGGGAGGCACATCCGCTATATATAAACGATGGATCCAAATCGTTTGAATCGGCTATATTGACTGTCAATGTTGTGGTCGATGAAAGGCGATCTGCGGTATTGCGCGCCCGATCCTGAAAGTAGATAAATGATATTTCATTTATATAAAAAAAATGCCCATAAATTTATAATGCAGTATTCATTTGCATTACCGATAACTATAGGTATATGTTTTCAGACTAGATCCCAAGTGAAAGGTATGGAACTTTAAAAAATGCCGTCGGCAAAAGGGCCGGTAAAAGTAGGCAGATAATTGGGGCCTTTTTGGCACAACATTTAATTGTTGCAATAACAAAGTAGGCAGTTTAATAAACCCTTTGTAATAATTTAATTAATAATCAAGCCTTCACTTACCGAAGCCACAATTGTGAGATAATAGGTTTGTATTTTCTCAAAGTCCAAAGTCTTGGCAACAGTGACCTAAAAGAAGTGGAGAGAAATTATAATGTATGATTCTCAAATAAACTTTCTAGACTTACCTGACCCTGGTGTGGAAATGATATGGCAAAGGTGCCATAGCCATCCGTACTATACTTTTCAATATCTGTCGAGTTTGCACTTCCCTCGGCTATAAAATACTCAACCAGTCCGTTGACACCTGCGTCCTTATCGAGGGCCTGAATGTTTCGAAAAATAGTGGTTCCCACCGGTGTGCTCTGTAAAAAATTATTAAAAGCCATTGAAATGTCAGTTAATTCGACATGGGAAGCGACGGGGGGTTTTCTTCAGAGCCTGGGGTTTATTCAAGAACCGAAAGTGTTTCCTGCCTGCTTAATAAATTGTTTCTAGTTCAGCAAGATGATACCATAAGCTATTTTTTCCCTCACTGAAGGTACATTTCTAACATTTCCCATGGAACGCAATTGGGAGCCAACGGAAACTCTGAGATCATTAGTTTATTCGCATTGTTTCAGCGTCAAGTGGCTGCAGTGAAGATTCAAAAGCCTGCTGGGCTGTTATGTAACGGTCGCAGCCTCTTAAACTCATGTTAAGGAGCAGCTTTGCTACTTGTATGGGGAGTTCGGAGTTTGCAGTCTGGAGTCTGCCGTTTCTTCTGTACAGTGTACACTCGAGTCGGTAATTTAGCATCCACAGTGCATCCCCAGAATTGCAGCTGAGCTCATGCACAAGACATTGTTCATTCGCTGAACTTTGCGATTTGTTTCTCAGTTAAATGGCATGCAAGCTTAGGTCATCTTTTTTCGCTTTTCATAATTTTCGGTTTTATTGCATGGTGTTTGGGCATTTACTTTTCGAATTCCCATGGCTGAATCCAGCCATTTATTATGGGTATTGATTTTGCAGATACCATATTGTTTCGGTAGCTCTCTGGAGGTATAATTTATCTCGGTTCTTGTAATTATTTGATAGAGCGGGAATGAAATGCGATTCTGTTGTGTTGTTCTGTCTTGTCGTTTCTGCTCGAACATCGGGTCCCTTGGGAGTGTTCGCCTAAGCCGGCAAGTGCATACCAATTATATTCCAGTTTGACTGGCAGAACGCCATATAAAGGGACCTGGATCACGAATTTACAATGCACTATATACTTTTTTCTGCGAAGAATCGATGACGCAGGTAGCCAGCCAGCCCTTTTGTTTATTCTCCACCAGGCTTCTTAAACTTTAAGGCTTCACATTGTTAAATAAATTTTGTATGGGTAAACGTCCTGATTGCAAATTCCGATGAACCATTTATATTCTGCTTTATAGCATTACTTTACAATTTTATTTACTATCCGATAAATCTACTCTCAAGGTCTTAGGTATAATCAGGTCCTCAATAAGAAAACAAAATGTATAAACTATAATTGGCTTTTGTTTTCGAATTTAAATTATTTAACGAGTGTAGTGATAGAATGAAAAAAGTGTTAAATATATGAGAGATTCTTACTAAACGTTCTTTATAATTCGCGATAATTTAATATCTATTAACAGTATTGACAAGCATTTATAACTGAAAGCCATTCCTTTCCTTACGATTGTATTCTTATGAAAATTGATTGCTCAAAAATTATCTAATTAATTAATTACTACTGGTTTAATGTCTTAATAGTGTGCGGCTTCTTATGTGAGGTTTCTTCAATTATGTAAAGACACAGGTGCGATTTAAGCACGTTTATTGGCAAGGTTTCTCTGATCTTGGCTAAGTCGTCGCAAAGTAATGCACTTTATAGGGGTTCTTTATGTTCGAGTTTGTATGTAGCACGTTTCCGCTTTGTTTTATGCTTTTTGCTGACGCTGCTTTCTAATATGTCAACAGTTCTGTAATTGAACGTTATTAGTCTAAATACGTGATTAAAAGCCGGCAGGCAATACTCTTGCACTTGCCGCCGGTCCCAAGATCCTCGGATGCTGGGGATTGGGGATTGCGGATTGGGGATCCGCTCGACATGCTATTGTGTTGCCGAAGCGCTGAAAACATGTTCACTACCACTTCATTAGTGTTCAGTATGTAGTTGCTGCTGTCGCGTCGAGAAGACTATGCACATTCACCTGACTCTTGCACAAGAAGAAAATGGGAGGATTTTGAAAACCCGATATGCTTACTATTTAAATTATTTGGGGAAATTCAAACCAATAAGTACTAAAAGGGCATTTCTTCCAATTTATCACACGATTATATACACTTGTTAACTAAGAATTTATCTAATAAAATTATAAGATATAAAACTCTTCAGTAACCCTTTTAACTTGAAGAGTAATATCACGTTTTAAAGCTTGAGGAATGTTGATATAGATTTAAGACTGTAAGATAAAAAGATATTATGCATGCTATCATTTCTCTGTTTTATAGGGCTTAATGTATAACTATACAAAATGTCTAAACATAAAATATATTAAAAAGCATCAAATTGAATATTCTTTAGATGAATTTAGCAAAGATCGAAACCATACCGGTATTAGACAAACTATTTATCAACATCTTTGTTCTTAAGATAGCATCTCATTATACGGTGGATCTCTGGTAAATAGCTCCTAAACACAATCTAAGATTATCTTAGTTCAATTGATCTCAGTGTATCTGTGACTTTTTGCAGCGTTAGTCCGTTTGGCACCCGGCTCAGAGGAACTATGGCGAGAAATGCGGGCAAACTTCGGGGTGGCGAAAAGCTGATCGTGCGGACGCTGGAAAATGTCTATTTACTTACCTCGGGAACGGTAACCTCGTAGGGCGTGTTCATGAAACGCGGCGCATTGTCATTTATGTCCGACACCCGAACAATAATGGGAATGGTGCGCTTTTTGTTCGTGGATCTAATGGTGCAGGAAACCTGAAACGATTTGAGCAGTCGTAGACATATTTTCATAAATATTTTCATCTGGCAAAATGGAGCAGAGAGAGTAATGTACCTGAAAGACAATGTGACTGAGATTTTCCTCATCTCGATCCAGGGGCTGCAGTAGTTGTAGTTTCTTGCCGTTTAACTGAAATATCGGCTGGCCTTTCGGAAAGACCAAATTCAAAGCGATTTCCGTCTCCGGATCGCCGAAAATTGGAAGCTCTGGCGGAGTGGTTGGCTGTCCAATAACTGCAAAAAACGCATAAATAATATAGTAAAAGTTGAAGTCTAATAAATAAAGCTAGGTTATTGGTACAAGTGGCTCCAAGCCGGCAAACATATCGGGATGGAAACGAGAAAACTGCAGACAGCTGCCTTTCTCTTTGCATTTGGGGTCAAGTTGCAGCGATCACTTGCGATGTATACGTGTGTGCACATATCGTAGATGCATCTCGCATCCACATGAAAGCCTTTAAAATTCGTGTGATCTTGTTGTTTCGCAGTAAGCGCCTCCATGAGTGATATCAGATATTACGTAACGAACCATAATGTTTTATTTAAATACATTAAAGTAGGAATTCAATGCCTTAAAGCTCCTTAAATATTTTATGAACTCTAAAACACAACTTCAATTTAAAATTAATGTGCCGTACATTTTTTGTAGTCTTGGCTTAAATCCTAAGTCTCTAGGATTAGATTTGTATATATCTAATCTGGAACTTTTTCAATTTTAAGATACCTTTTGCATAAATTATTTGTATGGCGATCTTATGACACCCTCCCTAAACTTCTGTGACCCAAGAGTTAATTAATGTTTTAAATTACTTAATTGCAGACCCAAAATCAACCAATTATGGTTTTGAGAGTTGGCCAGTTTTACCTTATAGAGGTGCACCTTAGCGAACATGAAAATTATACAATGTATCTACAATGTACATTTAATTTCTCTGGTCTGACGTGCTTTTCATTCTTTGATGTGAAGTGCTGCCTATGTGCATGAACACGTTTAAAATTATAATTATGGTGTTGCACCTTTCGTGCTTTTAGTCTATGATCTTGAAGTCGAGGTTGAACGCCGAGCATTTTGTCTAAAAAGTGAATAGCCATTCATGTTTTTGCATCCACGTAATAGATTTAAAGTTAAAGTAGTTTTAGAAGTCATATTTCCTGTTTAAAGCCATTTTAAACTGCTCAAATTGCATAGTTAGTTAGTCGATAACCTAAGCTAAATGGTTTATATAATCCGTTGAAGAAATACTTACAAGACTCACGGCTTTCTTCGATATCCAGAATGATATTCGTTTGACCGGTTTCCACTTCGCACATTTGCGACTTGCCCAAAACCGCCGAACAGAGCAGGATTAGGAGTCCGAAGAAGCCAAGTCCCTGCTGGGGAGTGAGGTTTCTCGCAGTCATTTTTCTGAAAATAAAAGTAAACAAATATTCCTTGTAAAATATATATTTGCCAGAGTCTGATTTAAATATTATTTTGAGCCACTAACAGCTTAACCTACGCCATGGGGCCCACACAGCGGATCTGGAAACCCGAGTCAAGCTCGAAATGTCTTCTGCATACGCTGCTTTTGTATGCAAAGACGGCTTCTCATACCTTAAATGGTGTGATATCAATATGCAATAAACAATTTAACAAACTTGGCGTTGTCTTAGCCGCAGCGCGTTCTTTTCTTCTCTCTATGCCGAAAAAAAATATATATATATTCGCGTATATGGACATGTGGAAATCTAAGATGCGAAGATCTGCGGAGGATAGCTATGCGGCTATTTGTTAGCGATAATAAATACTAAGTTGGTGTCGAAATTGGTGGCTAAATTGAAAATTCTCATAGTTCCGTTTTGAGCTCATCAAATGACTTGGCCAGGAAAATATTGACTGAGAGAAGTTCATAACGGTAGGATCATAAATTGGTTAATAAAGTGGGAAGGCAAGCCGTGCCAACAACTAGACAACGGGGCCCGCGATCAGGTGCACATTTTGCCCACCTCATCTCATCGAGCGCCTAAATGGCCAACTTGACTGCCCGATCAACTTTTGTGGCTGTGGCTGCGGCTGGGATACAGTTAGCCATGTTCTCCAAAGCCACCTCATGCGGCTTCTATCCCTAAGTTTCAGCTCTTTCTCTGCAGTTCAGCGCACATCCGCTGGCGTTGTGCCCCATCCCCAACTCCAACTCCATCTCCAACTCCCCATCCAAGACTCGTTGGCACCAGGAGCACTTCTATTTCTATCGTATCCGTTACCCGGATCGTTTGTTTAATGAAACAGATCGAAGCTAATCTCTGGTTTTCTCGCTTTTTCTTCGGCTTTTATTTGCTTGAGTTCATAAGTTATGGATGGGAATAAAATAGGTTCAGTAAGTTAGAAAAAAACCATGATATAAAGAAATAAACTTAACCCTCTAATTAAAGAAAATTAAAAAAAATATGTAAAAATGAAAGTAGAAGAGTTATTAAGTAAGTATTAAGTATTAATTTAAGTCTTAAGCTGATTAGATCAACATATAAACTAAATGATAATTAGGTTTTTAAAAAAAAAAATATATGACAACAATATTATTTAAAAGCACATTTAATGCATAAGTAAATTTAAGGTTTAATGCAAAAATTCAGAAGTTAATTAGATCTTTTAAATAAATATGATAGGATTTTTAAAGCAAGCATTTTATTTTTGTATTTCTTTAGTAGTGAGTATTTAAAAAGCATACAAAAAAAGAAAATTACTCATCCGCGATGTTGGTTATGTGGGTAGAAGTGTTGGAAGTCATGCTGTGAAGTATGCCATTTTTGTATTTTTGTAAATCAATAAGACTCTAGGCTTATGAAAGCTGTTAGTGAATATGGTCAAATTAAAAAAATGGTGTTTTATCGTTTCATTTAAGAATAGGGATTATGGATTTTGAATGTTTAAAAATAAGCTTGATCACTAAAGTTTTTATTGGTTCGGACTCCTTGCGGAGTCGGTTCCGTGATACAGTTCTCTTAATTTTAAAATCTAAAAGCCGAAATCATTGCTTATTTCTTAGATTCCCTAAATTATTTAATTTACGCAATTACACTACAGAATATTATTCCACCAATCAAAATATCTATTAATTTTAACGACTTATATAATTTTCTAAATGTCTGCCAGTGCCGCAATCTGGAATTAAATCAAACTTGTCTTAAAACGCAGCTATTGCTGAAATTATCTCCGAAATCATAAAAGCAACGATCGTGCATTGCGTAACGGCGAGATATCACATTGTATTGATATGGCTTAAATGTTTCGCCGTTCCTGTTTCTATTTGCGAAAATCGAGAAAATCGCGAAAAGCGCTGCGAGTCCTCCGCTTTCACTGAACATACCATGCCCCTCGCCGTATAAACAAAAGTCGCGATGAGGTGAAGCCGCGGAGCTCGGTGGCCACAGAAAGTCAGTTGCTGATTATGTTCAACCGGAAACTTATAGAAAAAGCCGAATGTGCCAAACTGGTTTGCAAAATAAACGAAAGCCGAGGTATCGCTTTGCTTTGAATGCCTATGCCTGTATGCCTTTGCCTGAAATGCTACTAGTGCTGGGTGCAGATTCGATATGTACGGGAAACCTGTTGCTTATTGATGCTGTTTTTGCCAACATTTTCTAGTTTTGAATGTGGTACAATACGTACCGAACTTAAATCTGAAATCTGTTGGAATGCGAACGATGGTTGCCACACAAATCTTAAATAAACAAGAAAGGAACGCTAGTTTTACGGTCCGAATCTCGGGATACCCTGGCCCACCAATCATACTCGAATCGTTCTGTCAGTCCCAACTTTGATTGTTATGCTAATTCTGCGGGTGTTTTATTGTATTTTAATTTTATTGAACAGGAGGACGCGCTCGCGACCATACAAAGTATTCGTTTATATGCGTATGTATTTACTCTGATCCGTGAGAAGTTTCATAATGCCTCATGACAATAAAATATTGTCGTATATCAGCGCATCTCAATCTAAGCAGATTAAAACTTCAAAGTAGTAGTAATGGTATTGTGAATTCATTTCAGGTTATATTAAATTTATGGCTGCTATTGAAATGTTTTGATAACCTTTTAATTTCGATCATTTCTGCAAAACTTTAATGCTGATAGGTCAAGTTTCTATAATTCTAATCGTTCTATTGAACTCAGCAAGTATCTAAGAGCCAATTTGCTGGGAATCATTTTTCTCGGTGGTTAATTTTCATGATTCGCTTTTTTGTTAAGAACGCCCATACTGACAAAACCTGAACCATCAACTGCTGAGTAACAGAAATAATCTTAAATGGTCAGCGGTTTAAAAGCCAACGTTCAGGGCTTAAAAAAAGTATGGAAATATCAAGACGCAAATTATACAAATTAACAATTAAATTAAATTCTCAAGAGTTCAAAAATATCTAGCGAGCTTAGTCGTTGAACTACGAAATTTTTGGTGACAATAAAATGAATCGAGCTGAATTGCCGCTTAAAACAACAGTTAGGTGATTATGCCTTCTTCTTTATTATTTGCTTCGAGGCATTTAACCAAATGAAGATTAATCTTTGAAGTAGACATCAGAACTTTAATCACAGAACATTGTTTTCTTTCATATTCTTTTTTCCGTATAAATGCTGTATAAATAAGTAAAGATAGGTTTTAATTCTCATAACTTACCGTTTATTCTAAAGATTAAAAATTGCAGTAGCTCAAAATATTTCTGCTATCCAACGTGAAAAGGTTCACACGCCGTTAATGAAGGACTTATTTATCCTTAATTACATTTCGGGCATTTGATATTCAAATGTGTATTTGCTCGCAACCCGTACGCTGAATATGAAATAAGGTTAAATTTAATTTAATACACACACGACACTATTATTTATCAATACTTATTTTATGTATGGTTTTATGAGAAAACTCAGGTTGAGTCCACACATCAAAAATTATGAACACAAGACAGGTTTAGGAGCGTTGTTTTCTCGTTTTTTCCACACTTGATTGATTATTAATGGCTTTATATTTTTACTTTTCGAGGTTGTCCTCATGGATTAATTATAAATCTTAATATTTCGCGAAATGTAACCAACAAAGCGGCGCGTGGGAGTTTTTGGTAGCATGTAGTAAAAGTAGCATGGCAAGTTGATGACTATCTATGTATGCCTGTACAAGAGTGTATAAGTTTTCTTACACAAATCTCGACATACGTGACCTCATTTGCCGATCTGACAGAAAACGTTTTTTGGTTTTGGTTGTTTCTTTGCAAATGTCGCAAAAAAATCCCGGTCGATAAATTAAATTCGTGTTGTGTGTTTTCTACAAAACGATAAACACATTGGCATTTAATACAGCGATCACGTTCACATTCCACATTACTGTTCTATCCTTTTTTTGTTTAATGATGATGGGCAAGTTGATGTGAAATTTTTGCTTGTATTTACACCATTGTTTTTTTGGGTAAACAATAAATTGGCAAGAGAAAGTCTTGCTTTCGGGGAATTATACATATAGTTATGTATGGGTACAATCTTCTTTTTTTAATGCTGGATGCTTCGTAGATGGGGGCTTTGTTTGCCAGGCGGGGTTTCTTTGTTATTTAAACGGGGATTGTTTTATTTTTATTCACTGGTATAGAGGATTGTGGGGTTTAATAAACCCAGTATTAGGCCCCTTCAAGGGTATTATAACTTTAAATAGCCTCGGATCTACACATCACACGTCGCCATAAACGGACCATTCTGAACTTTACACATTTTCTTGAGAGATAACTCTTAAAAAATTAGCTCTTAGGCATATTCATACCAGCTTGAAAACCGGTATCGCGGGAGCCACCTAAAATACGATTATGCACATACTACACTGCGCGAAAGTACGTGATGACGGTTCGGTGGTCGGATCGGAACTGTTTCGGTTCGGTTTATCTGTGTCTCTTGCGAGCAACAAGTGGGCGCTACCATCCAATCCCAGGCGGAACGAAGTGGAATCGGAACCGATCTCTCGCTGGCATTCGCTTTTGCGGTAAAACTGGTTTTTGGGACTAGTTTACCAGCTGATGCCACACAGCACACCACATAGCTAGATATACCCATTTTTCGAGTGCGAAAGGCCTATGTGGTACAGGTACTATGGACCGCGATCCCCGATCTGCAGGTGCATGTTGGTATGTATGTTTCTGGAAAAAATCAGCTAACAGCGGTCTGTTAAGTCAAAGGTAAATAAAAGACCACCATGTTTCATTTCCATAGGAGTAGGCTGCGGAACCAGTTTTCGGGCTTTTTTTTGCCTCTTTTGTTTTTAGCTGCAGTTTCTTCAGTGTGTTTGTGTTTGGGGCGCTGTGTAAAAGTTTTTATTAAAATGTTTTAGGTGATGTTGCTGCGATTTTGTGCAGCAATAGCAATACCAATCTGTGGCCGGACTTTGCCAGCCCGCTTACTCCGCCGATCCGGTGCATGAATGAAGTTCACTAAAGGGGCAGACAGCATTTTTGTACCTGTCAGGCGGCCACAGAGTCGCATATGCATATTCCATTGTATTGGGACAATGAGACAGTTGCTGTGCTATCCAATCCACGAAATTACCATCATTGGGAGGTGTCTGCAGTCGCACACCGGGCAAATATTATCATTTTCAACCGGATGCTATAAGACCAATCAAAGTAATATCATTTTTTTACAGCTTAAATATGGTTTAGATTATCTTTTATACATAAGGTATTTTGTAAAACTCAAAACGTAAATAGAACTACCAAACTAACTATCACCTCATGATATAATCTTTCATATATCGAGTTCTTTAAAATGCCAAACAATCAACTTAAACACCTAATTAAAGCAGTTTAATATTCTGACTCATATCTATAAGCTAAAGTACAGACAGAGCTTTAAAAGTTTTAAAATACAGAAACCAGTCCATAAAACCGTGTGTCTATGGCTAACTATATTTTAATCTGTGGCCCATTCAAACTGCCTTGGACAAGATTAAGACATGTACTAACTGGCTATTAACACAGTATCTTTATGGTGGTAAACCTCATGGGATGCAAACTTATTTTCATAATTTACTTGAAGAGAAAGTGCAAGAGTTTTCAGCAAGATGTACACCATTAGCTCATTTTACTGTTTCCCAACAGCCAAATTTGGCTCTTCACTCCGTCTTGCAAAATTTTCCTGAGCTGGGGATTAATTTGAGTTAAACCCACGGCCTCTTTAAACACGGATGTTATGCTTGTTCTTTCGTTATTATAAAAAGGTCGTCTCTTGACAAATTTAATGGAGGTTTAGATTACCACAATAGTAAGCTTCGCTTTTGTCTTTCGGCTCTGTCGACACATTTACAATTCGAATGTCCCATTTCCATGAAAATTTGAATCGTTGTGTCGATCATTTTACTTATTTCAAGTTCAGGTGAACTAGTGATTACGTTTCAATCCGAATTTTAGTACTCTAAGTATTGAGTATTTTGCAAGGACAATTTTAATAATAATAAAAGTTCTCTTTTTTCACTTTATTTATGCTGACATTTAATTATTTAGTAAGGTGAAATTCAGCAACCTAACTTGAAGCTTTGTGGTGATTACTTATGAAAATTAAAGGCGAATCATAATAATTTATGATTAAATACTTCCTCTTAAAATTAAGTGTACTTATTTATTCAAAGAACACCGGATACAAAACGGTGAAACGAAATGTGTCAGCCAAAACTTTGAGGTTTAATTTCCTCATAAGCTCGAATTGCTGTTTGAGCCAATTTAAAATCAGTTTACCTTCTTAAGAATTCTTGATAATATCAGACAAATAAAAAAATAAACGTATGGCAAAGTGTGGCAATAATGTTTGCTTATGCAATATAAGCAAAATAATTTGTATTTTAAGCAAATTTTGAATTAAACTCTGGGTTCCACAAATGCGGGGTAGGTGCATAATTTATACTTTTAGAATTAAGGTATCCAGTTTGAACAAAAAAACTCATAAAGACAATAGTTCAAAACGTAATAAATATATGTAGAGACACTCCACATGAGTACAAGACAGTTATACATAAGTCATTGGACGAATAAAAAATATGCAACCTGTTGGCTTTAAAAAAATATTACGTTTTCAGCACAAAATGCGAGTGAACTAATAAAAGCATATAATAAACTGGCTTTGCTCGGGTTCAAATTACTTCTGCAAAGCTCTACATTTTTATACAAAAAATATGATTGCAATTACAATTTAATATTTCTTTTATTGCCGAAAGCCAGTTCACAGAGCCTGCATTGTTCTGCACTCTCACATGATTGTTTTTGTTTTTTCAGGGGCTGTTAAATCATTCTTCGTCCGCTTTAATTGCTCCACAAAGTACAACTGCATTCCTATTCCTGGCACAGCAACTAAAAGTAACAACAATTCGATTTGGGACCAATGCACACCAAATAACCAAAAGATGCCTTGCTGGCGGACTGAACAATCACTTTGCCCAGATCAGTTTCGGTCCGGCCAAGAAAATATATATATATATAAACCATATAGGCGAGTGTGTGTGCACAGTTGCGGTCAGAAGAAAAGTACGGAGCGGATGGTAGATTTATAAGGTGGAAATTCAATCCGGTCTCGGTGAGAACGGGGAATACATCTCCTGGATGCTCACGTTATGTGGCTTCCCACCTATGTATTTACACATAAAGAAAAATGTATATTATAAGGTGATATGGTGTAATGTTATTGATTCTCTAATCATAAAATATTGGTATATTGCTATAGCTGTATTTTATCTAGGATTCATTCAACTCTCTGATTTTTGTTTTTTTAATAAGTCCCCAATTTTTGGGTATCTAAATTTAAAACAAAAATCAAAATTATATTTATTAATATCTTACAAATGTATTACAAATCAGTGGGAATTTAACTAGAGATCTTGTATCACAGGTAAACTTTATGAACTTTATTTTGTGACTTTATATATATGTAGCTTTCTTACAAATAAAGACTGCATGTTGATTAAACATGATTGATAATTCAAGTTAATAAGAGCTGAGTAGCTTAATATTTTTGTTCTCTGTACTACCCATGTACTACCTTTCTGACCGCAGCTGTACCCTTCCCGCTGCCAGGCCATTAACATTGCTTAATTGAATTAGATTCCGAATGCAGATTATGAGTACCATCGCATGCTCACTCCGGGACAAACCGAGTATGAGTGAGGCAGTTCGTAGAGTACAGAACGAATTACGCCGCCACTTCCCAGGCTCCTACGATCCCATGCAAATGAGGTACTCCTATAAAAAAGATCATTTTTGAAATCCTCCTTTATGGCGTACGGCATAAAATTCAGATTTGAAAATATCAAACCCTTGGGTATTACTAAACGGCACACGGTTCACTGAACCTGAAATCTAATTAGCTAACTTTTCGTACAAAAGCGGTTTCTGTAATCTAATTCGATGGCGTCAGCGGCACTTGGCGAACCACGAAACATTTCTGCAGCCAAAACGAGCAGAGACTTGTACATTGGCCATTCGATTGGATTGGATTGCGCCGGTGCGGTATTGGTATTAAAGGCCAACAATTGTGGCATGTCCTAGTGACAGCCTCGCCACAAAATGCACAAATGCACAAAATGCCCGTGCAATAACAGCCACAAGCGACTGCGAGCGTCGTGCCAGTAACGTAGGAACCGTAGGAAACGTAGGAGCTGCTGCTTCATTAGTTATGCATTAAGCATACGATATGTTGTACAACCGGGCTACAATGGCCAGTAGGGTACATGGCCTTTTTAATGGGCTTTAAATTGATCAGGGTGTTGCCATTAAAGTGAAGTTTTCCAGTCGTGTCTGTCATAGTTTTCCATGTTGTCGGTGCCTATAATAAAGACGTATATTTTATTACAAGACTCACCTCGAAAAATTAAATAAGAGCTGTTGTTGCATACATAAATGGCTCTTATGTAGTAATTAACAATACTTTAAGAGATAATGGTACAAATTAACGCTTGACTTTTAGGAGCGAATTCATCGATATTATTAACGACGGATTATTTTTCAAATTGAATCTTAATTACTTTTAATTTAATCTTAAGAAATGACTGATACTACAGTTTTATCTCAAAACTTTATTAAAAGTGGTTTGGTAAAGAATTTTAAGCTTAGAATATTTTCTTTTGATCTGTTTTATTCTGAACATAGACAAAAGAGTATTTTAAGAACTTTGATATTTAACTTTGATATTTAATAATATACAGATGCCCAAAAAATATTGCATAAAAAAAAAATAAATTAAATTAAGCAATATTGAATACTTTTTAAAATGCACCTACAATTTTTTCACATTTTACGTTGTATAACACCTCAAAAAAGCCAAAAGCTAAAAATCCAGCGATTCGAATTAAAATGTAATTAATTAATTTACTTTAATTTGAAAAGCTTTTGAATGGGTAGCGTTTGAAGTGTAACTAAGTTTCGGTGGCGCAATCGGGTGCACCTTTCCTGTTTTCCCGCATTGGGCTGCTGCAGTCAATCTTTTTGTGGGATGTCCAGCTCCCTGTTAACTGCGTGCAATTCGTGGGGGTTCGTATGTCGCTTAAAAATTTTAATTGCCTTTGCGTGTTTAGAAAACTTACACGTACGTATGTTCTGCGTAGTTTAGCAGCTGACCAAATGCCACGGCAGCTTTCTAGTCGCTGCAGGGGATATGTCTGCAGCAGTATATTGAAGTCTATTTTCACACTTCCAGCACACGATCGCTAATGCTCATTGATGCGAATTAAAATTGAAAGGAATTAACTGAGAAAGTAAGTATGTCTTAATATTAACGCAATCTACATTGTAGAACAAAAAATAAAAATACATAAAAGTCGACTTCCTCGAATGAAGAACAATAACAATACAATAATAACTTAAATTAAATTCAGTTGAATTGGTCGTATTATTTATCGATCTCAATTAAATCATAAAGTAATTCACAATTAGGTTTTTTTTTATTTAGCGTCACAAAATATCATTAGAAAACAATTTTACAAAACCTGTTACTTAAAATTTACAAATATTAAATTTGTTTAAAGTCGATATTTTCCCGATAGAAATGAAGGTGTTCCTTATCCTGTATTTATAATCCTAAAAAAAGGGGCTATTTTTTATTTAAAACAAATTTTATAGGGGATTTTACCATAGAGGCCTCTCGAATTTTTGGCGCTGGTTTGAATCTAGGCGGCACCATAAACGAACTGCCCTTTTCAACAAATCGTTGGCCGACAAGTCATAATTCTGTCTTTTAAAGTTTCGGATGAAATGTATGTAGGCACCTGCCGTGCCCAAAGGACTTTCAATATTCGGCGGAGTCTTCGATGGACTTTTATATTTCGCTTGACTCTTAAGAGGACTTTTCCTTTTCGACTGGCAGTTTTTGGAGCCGTATGAGGTCCTTGTAGCCTCCCTTTCACGAGCATACGGCGAGAGGTTTTGAGACAGTTTTTCAGTTTCATGTTTGGCCGAACATTCCTTTATCGACTGCCACTCAGTTGCCCAAAGTGGGCTTAGTTTCAAGGTCAAAGTGTCTTCCTAATATGGAAACCAAAAAAATATATAACATTTTTTTAATGAATTTAGATGATTTTGGCTTAAGCTCAACTTATTTACCATGTCAGAGCAGTTTTCCTCTGTCGACTGGCTCTCAGCCGATCGATGTGAGTTCACAGACTCTTTCTAATATGATAATAATATATTAAAAATATGAATAACATATCTTGAATTTAAACCATTTTGTTTTTTATTTACCATGTTACAGCGGCTTTCTTTAATCTCCTGCCACTCCGCTGCTTGAGGTGGTCTTTTTATAAAGGTCGTAGGCTCTTTCTAATACGCCAAAAATATATTAATATTATTAAAATATTATTATTAAAATATATATCATGCAAAGCCAATTTACCGTGTTGGACGACCATTCCTTTTCCGACTGGCACTCAGCCGAGGTAGTTGAACTTTTTTTAACAGCCACAGACTCTTTCTATTGGAATTAAAATAGTTTAATATTATAAAATACACTTAAGAACATGTGAAGTTTATGATGTTGAGTTAATTTCCAATTTACCATATTTTTAAAACGTTGCTTTTCTTCGAGGGATAGGAGATTCCATTGCTTAGCTCCAAAACGCACCATGTCCTGCGGGGATAAACCGCAGAAACGTTTTTTGTATTCGGTTAAAAAGTTTAGGTACCCATTATTCAAGATGCGCGCTACTTTCTGGTACTTGTAAATGGGTTTGTAATGTGATCGTCCTCGCTTTTTTTCCTCCATACTATGGATTTGTGTATACTTAAAATTTATTGTCTGTCTATAGATATCCCAGAATTATTAATCTACTCTCGGAAACTAATTCTGAGTGAGAAGACTTTTTCCAAGCTGACTAATGTTGTTAGAAAAAAACTGAGGGTGACACTTAAAGCAAAGTTTATCATGATTATCACTGTTTTATAATTAACTCAATTCGAATACAAATTTTATGGGGATCAGAATAATTTCAAAAGAATTTACAACTTAGAAAATTCACCGAAAAGCAACCAAGTTCTTATTATTCATTTGGTTCTTAAAAAATCAAAATTTATAAAAAGTTAACCCATTTTTTTAAGGGGCCAAAGACAAACAAATAATGGCTTCTTATCAAGCTGTTTGTACCGCCGGTTTTGTACACCTCGTCCTTGGGATATCGCTATTCCATTCGCAAATTGATAGCTGTTCACCTGCTCCGAATTTGGGCGGATGGATTTTCGTGGTAGCTCTAATGCTTATGGCCACCGATATTAAAATGTATCCGGATCGGTATACGCATTTGCCATATGCTATTCAGTTTCTGGTGGAGGTGATCGCATGTTTGGCTATGCTGGAGTTCTTCACGATCGTGGTGTGGTGCTCGTTGGAGAGCCTGATTTTTCACACTGCACGGCTTTTTTTTTTATTCTTGGGAATGAGCGATGAGAGTTTCTTGAACTGGGAGTATTGGCTCCTGTTAATACCCACCACGGCTATGGCTGGCGTTTTATTGTTTCTAATTAAAATGGCTGTTATACCTCTCTTCGATATTAAGTCGGTCTATGAAAAGCATGAAATTAAGGTACATTTGGACAGGGGTGTTTACATGGACCTGACAAGTAAAAAAAAACAGAGAATGAGAAGGCAGAAGAATTTCCCAGTAAAATCGTCGAATTAATTAATTTATTTTATAGATATGTGCACTCAAATTTCAAGTTTTATCGTTAAGCCCAATCCAATAATGCTAGTTAGTAAGAGCAAAAATTAAAAATTGAATTTAAAATTTATTTGTACAAAACCATTTTCTAAATTTGAATACAGAATAAAACCACATACTTTTATGGATATGCCATTTAAAAATCGAGTTTCAATAGGTTTAGTTTTCTACTTGGAGCTTATTACAAAAAATTACAAATAGCTTATGGCTTTGTTTCTACCGGTTAAATGTTTTTAACGGTTTTACCAATTTAAGCCATCGGACGTTTTGCAGCACTGCGCAAAACATATTTACGGCACTGCCGTCCAAATAATCGATAGCAATACATATCGAATACTTTAATCGATTTTGTTCCACCTCCAGCTCTATTTGTTGATATGAACAGCTGAATAATAATCATATTTGGTTAAAAACAATTATGCGATTTAACGGAGCCGCCTTATAGCTCCCGTGCCACGCCTACTGCGATGCGAACAGGCGACAAAGCCGAGCTGTCGCCACGAATCCTGCAATCGAGAACGCAAACCAAAAGTCCGGAATCCCGATCACCGAAAACCCAGTAAATTCCGGAGAACACACATTTAAAGATGTCGACGGAGGAGCATGTGTGGCGAGCGCATGTTGTGCGGCGATTACGCGAACGCAATCGCAAGGAATGCGACAACTTCAAGGAGATCATCGAGCAAAGTAAGAATTCGGGTCGCCGGGGTCAGCGGAGCCCCAGTTGCCCCCCATTGCGCACCAGTTAACCTCCGAATCATCTCTACATTTCATGGTCACATACTTTAATTGCCTTGCAGACAACCGCCTCATTGACCATGTGGCCCAGCTCAAGGCGGACAACCTGAAGCTGTCCGTCGAAAATGAGCAGCTTCGTAGTGCGGTGTCAACAGGTGGCACCGGTTCCAACGTGGCCATTGCCACCTTGGAGAAGAAGCTGCTCAGCCAGCAGGAGGAGCTCACCGATCTGCACAAGCGCAAGGGCGAGAACTCCCAGATGATCGTAGACCTCAACCAGAAGATGGAGCAGCAGAGGATCATCATTTCCGAGAAGGAGCACAGGTAGTCATCGAGGATGTTCCGGGTTTCATATTCGCCAAGAAAGTTTAAAAGCAAACTAGAATGTTTCGAGATTTACCAAAAAAAGGGATTCCAATTACGATATAATTTGAAAAGCACCATAAAAATCCGACGGTTTCTCAAGGTTTTATAGATTTGATTACCATGATGGGTCAGTTTCGACTAATGTTTAAATAATAACATATTCCACTCAGATTTAAATTTTGTGTTGAATTTTGTCTTAGTTAAGACTATAGTTCATAGGCACACTTTCGTTAATTTTCGATAATGAAAAAGAAGGAAGAGTAAAATGAATAAAAAAGATTTTAAGGTGAAGTGAGAAAGTAGTGAGCTTAATCTTCCGATAAGAAATCGGAACAGACCACGCAAAAAAATAATCACTTAATCTTGCCGAATATAAAACATGAAATATCTTGTATACCAACATAAATTGTTTACTGTCTCTAATGTATCTGTTTTTTAGCCTCGCCGAGCAGCAAACGAATAACAATCGATTGCGGGCTGAAGTGCAACTACTTCACTCGAGCTTAGAGGAACTTAAGAAACTCAACAACACCATGTTGGATGAGCATACAGCGCTTCAATTGGCATTTAGCTCCCTTGAGGATAAATTGAGAGGAGTACAAGTAAGTGGTCCAGATTAGTTGCTTTTATATTTATACACGATCACTGCGTCTATGATTTAGTTGACTTAAACAATACATATCAAACTTAAATTATTGTAACTGCTAAATTGGTATAGTGAATTTTAATATTTGTAAGTTTTATTATTTAGTCAGCAGACTATTTAAACGCTAAACGCAGTAAGTCAGACAAAAAAAAATGTTATAAAATTCAAACTGTATAAAACGAGATCTGTTAACTTAGATACTTAAAAATTGGTCAGATTGTGAATACACTTCATTTGCAATAAATATATACTATCAATTTTGTAAATACACTTTTTTAAGGAATACGTTTAAAACCGATTTTGAGTGAATTCACGAGCATTTTATTCATACCAGGCCATTTTTAATGATCTAATGCTGGTTATCCATTGATCGTTATTGCCACATATAAATTCAGGTTTGTTTGTTCTTAATTCCGTACAAATTTATTTTAATTGGTACTTAACCTGAGGCTTCCGAATCCAATTGAAAAAATGATTTTGTTCGGTATTTGTTTCGTGCATGCCGATAAATATATTGCAGATGGCTCGAATCATTATGCCTCGTATACACACGGGAAAAGCTTGCTATCTTTTCGATTTCGATCCAGTAGCACATTAGCGTTCAACGCGGAAAACAGCTCGCAACGGCGCTAAATATTGGCATATATTCTAATTATGAAAAAGCGTTTACTAAAAAGCTTTTCGTTCTCTGTTAATTCACAGGATGAAAATCGGCGTTTGCTGGAACGTCTTATGCAATATAAGTCAAAGGATGCCGACAAATTGAATGAGGAAAACGAAAGCATAATAAGGTACGTTTATTGAAAAATAACAGCATTATAACCCTATTATCATGCAAAACATAACGTTTAATATAACTTATCTTTTCGATCATTAATATACATGTATATAAGTGCATTTTCGTAACCAGATAAGTACAGCGATACATATAAAATGGTTAATCACAAGGCTTATCTAATGCTTATAAAAGAGTTTGATAAAATTTCCATGTAAACAGTTAACAAATACATACGAAACAAACGATATTCCATGGATCAAGTAGCTTTTTGCTTATTTTCAACATCACATATTAAACAAGACCAGCATATCTTTTTCAATGAACATCAGTTCCGTTTTGCTAAAGTTTCCTTAAAAAGGGATTCAATTGGCATTTGTAACTTTGAACTATTGATAAAAGTTGGGGAAAGGTAATCAATCAAGTAATAGCGCCTTTGTGTGTTTCCATGTCATGAAGTAGGCAATACAATTTGCAAACGTGCACAATATCACGAATTTAGAAATTCGCAGGAGAAGCTGGCGTCCATAAAACTCCGTAGGGAGACTCTTGAATTTATTAATAAATATGAAAAGCAATAATTGTTTCTCGTGTTGTTAGGTATAGAGAGGGCATGTATACTAGTTATTATCTTAATACCCGATTAGAGATTACAGTGTCCATCCACCCGACCGCTGATCACCTAGTTGTGTTAATAAAAACCACTTTATTGCCCACCCACCAAACGTCATGCAAGCAAGTTAACCGAAAAATGCGGAGCACGGGAACTACCAATACGTAAAGGTTTACGGAAAACTACACAAACTGCATGTAATAAATATTTATCTATATTTTTTTACTAACACTTTAACAAACGCCAAGGAGTAGAACGGACCATTTAGACGAATATTATCGATTGTGTCATTCATTCTGATTTGCTCCTTTTTATTTTGGTTTAATATAAATGTATAACCGTTTTTAAACATATCTAGAAAAAGACTGCCGTCAATTTTCAGGAAACGTTCGGCCAAACTGAAACGTGACCTGGAAGACGCGGTTCGTGAGCCCGGCTCATCCAGTAATACCTCGACATCGCCGGGCGCAGCATCCTTGCAGCGTAACTCCAGTCCCGCCCAGTTCATTGGGGGTCCCATTGGCGACGAGGACTTCGACGAGGCCACGATAAATGGCGCCATGGAAGCCATAGGTCTCGATGATAATGAATATATTAGCGCTCGTTTTACAGCAGGCGAGGTTTGCGAAAACACCCGAGCTTCCATTGACACCCTGAAGGCCACGGGCTACCTGGGTCAGGCCAATCCCACCAAGATCCTCCTGAAATTCGAGGCACACGAAAACGAGTCACACGCGGTGCGCTGGAGTCCCGTGGAGCGGATGGTGGCCACCGGTGGCGCAGATCGCAAAGTCAAGCTTTGGGATATTGGCAAAAGTGAGTTATTTATCACATATTCTTGTATATACCTGTGTTCATGCCGATATACATATTCATGAAATTACAGTAACTCAATTTGTCAAGTTGTAAATAACCAATTAAATGGTTTATGCATTGAACATTCTTTTGATTCATTTAACCAGGGTAATGCCTGCCAAAATACAATTTAAAGTGGCCTATTAAAGTGAAATATTATATGTAACAAAAACAAACCTATCACAAATTCACTATTTCATTATTATTAATATATAATGATTTAAACAATACTAATTTAAAATGTATACTTTCAGATTCCACTGAACCACGTGCAGTTTTAAGCGGGAGCAGTGCAGGAATAAATTCCGTAGATTTTGATTCAACAGGTGCCTACATATTGGGCACCTCCAATGATTACGGTGCCAGAGTATGGACGGTGATGGACAATCGTTTGAGGGTAAGTAAAATTTTTATTAATTCTTAAAATAAAGTAGATAAGATTTATTGCGAACGAATATTTAACGAAAAATAATGGTCCCCGGAGTTCTGTTTTATTTAAAAGAATCCAAAACATATATGTAGCATTTTAAAATGATAAACAAATGGGGAAAAAATCATTTCCAGATTGGTCGACTCGTCTAGACGCTATTTATTTGTAATAATTGTTTAAAATAATAATATAAGTATTAGGTTTCCGAAATGCTGGATAAATCGTAAATGCTGCTAATTTATGAAACTATTTTTTTTTTGGAATCATGAATATAATAATTCAATTCACTTGAAAAAAGTATAGACATAGATAGGGCATATTTTAGAGAAGTGATGACTTCTTGATAAACGAACATACTTGCAATTAGTCTAGGCCAGAATGGGCATAACAATACTTTTCTTTTCTATTGTTGCTTTAAGCAGATCTGAAAACCGACTTCTTTGATGCCTTGATTTATAAAGAATTTTCAGCCCTCGTGATATTCTCTTTTCGCCTTTGTTTACTCATGTTGGTACGTACATATGTACATATATGCACACATTCATACCAATGTCAATGTTTATAAATAAATTTTGCATGTTTGCCGCTTTCTAACTCAGAAAAAAGGCGAAAAATAAACAAGTAAACATTACAGAGACGCTGATGGCAAACAAAAGTGTTTACTTATATAGT